TGCATTTTAGAAAGACTGCTCCAGCTGCCAAAGCTTGGCAAGAAGAGCTTGCAAAGGTTCATAAGTGGATGTCATGAGATCACTTAGTAAGGTGTCACAGGTGAGTTCAAGACTAGGAGAAGAGCCATGGAGGAGAGAAAGGGGGAAGATTCAGTACAGGAGGCACAATTATCAGGACATGGTGTTGGAGGAGATAGGCTTACAATGTATTCCATACCTGAACTATTCCAATGAGCTCCCCTGCAGTGGGCCCCTCTTCAGAGGCTAGATCACCATCTGAGCCACAGATACTAGCTACCAGGTGCCCTCTTCTGCCTTGGATCCTTGCTTCTGCAAAACAGTCATTGTTCCGTTCCAGGCATGGTGTTCTATCACTGTGCTGTGCTAGGTACCAGGGATTGAAAGATGAATAAAAGTTTCCTGTCCCCCCAGGAGTTGCAGCCTAGTGGGTCTGCCAATCAAGACAGCACAGCATGACATGCTACAGCACAGGCAGAGGCAAAACCCAAGGCAAGGGACAGGAGCTCTGCCTGGCAGAGTTAGGAAGGTTTTCCAGAAGGCAGTCTGAGCCAGGTGTCAGGGGGTGAGCAGGAATTTATATGGAAAAGAGGACACTGGCTGATACAGGCAGAAGAAACATGTCATAGAAAGACACAAAATTACCTAAGAATAATGTGTGGCCAAAAAGTAGCCCCAGAGATGATGGTGGGGCTGGAGGCGGGAGATGAGGCTGGAGACAGACCTCTAATGGGGTCACTGGAGGCTCTTAACTACCTGCTTTAGGGAATATTAGTACTAATATTATATTTCTATTGCTGTATAACACATAACTCCACAACTTAGGTGCTTAAAACAACAAATGAATTATCTCAGTTTCTGTGGGTCAGGAATCCAGGCATAGCTCAGTGGTCCTCACAGGCTGCATTCCAGATGTTAGCCAAGGCTACTGACATCTCAAGGGTCCGCTGAGGGAGGAACAACCTCCAGGCTCATTCACATGGCGGTTGGGTGGCCTCAGGTCATCCCTGGCTCCTGGCTGGAGACATCAGTCCCTTGCCACATGTGTCTCTGTCGGGAAGCTCACAACATGGCAGATGGCAGAAAGATAGAGGTGAGGGGTGGGTGGAAGAGACAGATAGACAGACAGACAGACACAGTCTTCTGAAATTTAATCTCTGAAGTGACATCCCATCATTTCTGTCATCTTCTGTTTGTTTAAAGAGGTTCACTAGGTCCAGCCCACATGTGAGGACAGTTCACCCAGGGAGTGAATACAAGTAGGTGGTGATCCCTGCGCCATTTTAGAGGCTGCCTACCACATATACCATAGCTATTTCAGGCACGATCCCAGCATTATCTCATTCTGCATAAATTATAGAGAAAGACGTATAATTTCGCAGCATATTAGTTTGTTTTTGTCGATGGGTACACTGTGGTCCCTGGGAGCCCTGAAGAACAATGTGCTTCATTTCACATCTCTCCCTAAGGATTTTATACAACCCACTTGGCACTCACGCCATTATTATTAGATGGATTCAGCCAGAAGCTGCCTATGTGGGTAGAGATAGGTGGGAAGTTAGGAAGGCAGAGAAAGGAAGTGATCAGGACCCCAAATTGAATAAAGAAAAAGGTCACACGCCAACTGAAAATCAGAAATGAATCTGAGTGGAACTAAGCATCGAAGTTGACAGCTCATACATGCGATGCCAACTTGCCACAGCTTGGCAGTGCCCTTGATTTTCCCACATGCAACTGAAAATAGCTAGCATTCATCCTGAGGGAGTGCTGCTAAAATAAGTAACTACTGGGAGCTATACCTCACTGCTCATTCAAGCTGGAAGCAGTCTGCAATTATTTTGCTGAAATTAGATACAAATTAAGTTGCCACTTCCGGAACCCTTTCTTCTGTACTATATTATACAGAAAATAAACTGAATTTTCAGCTCCAATTGCTTAAACATTTTTTTCTTAAAAATAAATGTGATAACTGATAGGATATCCACAAAGGCAGATTATTGATACCAATCTCTTGTAAGACCCTATCTCCTCAGGAGCCTGGTTTTATCATTTTCAGACGTGTGTATAGTTGCTGCAGACATAGAGTGACAGTCTGGTAAAGGTGACTGGAGGAAGGGATCGACTTGCCCACACTTGAATATACCATGTGCACCATCAGAAAACCTGTCAGGAATGGAAGAGAGGGTACTAGCATACTGCTGGGGACCCGATGTGTTGACTCTGCTCCCACTTTTTTTTGGTGATCTGAAAGCTCTCAGGGTCTTTATCCATTTGGATATAGAAGTTCTGCTATGTTTTTAAGACCAAAACAGAATAAACAAACAATAATAATAATGTAGGGGTCTCCTGTCAACCTTGGCTAAGAAGGAACTGGTATCCAGATAATGGGGGTATTTGGGGGGTTTTCTGCTATGAAAGAGCCCTTGAATTGTATTATCTCAATAAAACACCATCTTCTTTGACCTGCCTTTGGAAGAAGTGGATGAACATCTAAGAGCCCAGCTGTGCTGGAACCTAGGAGGCTGTGGTGGCTTCCGGGGTAGGATGATTCTTCACAACTTTGAATTCCAACTTCCCTCTACAGAAGGCAAAGATTACTTTCTTCTCATTGTTAGAGGCATTAGTCACAGATGAAGCACGTTCACACCCCCACCCCCAACCCCACACATTCCCTTCCTATATCCTTATTGTGATCTGATGAATCTTAGACGTGACAAATGAAATAATGAGCTCCAGGTAACCTTTCCTCCTCAGTGAAGGGGTTAGTTTTGTTCTGTTTGTGTGTGTGTGTGTGTGTGTGTGTGTGTGTGTGTGTGTCCATAATTCTCCAACAGAAAACTAAAAGGTCCTCTAAGCAATCCCTTAAAATGGTGAATCTCTACAACCTCACTTTAATGTGATGGGTTATTTCATGCCTCGTTTAACTTTTAAAATTATTTTCAATGTCCCCTTTTCTAGACTTCTTCGGGCTTGGGGAGAAAATGGAATGAAGGAAGTTCAATGGAATCAAAGTAAATGGAGTGGTCTGAAGTGAACGAATGTCAGCAGTGTTTCCCGCGGCAGCTTGCGGCTATCTCTCAACACACCTCCTGTGAGTGGTGAGTCCAGCACCACATTTCCCCTGACAGAGGAAAGCACAGGCACATGCTCTGGGCTCTTGGGTCAGCAATCACCCTTTCTTGACATCTTTCTGCCTTCCCAGAATTCACCATGGCCTAAAACTCCGTGTTTTGAAGAAGCAGGACTTTAAGTCCAAACAGGAGGAAGTCGTACACTAAACAGTGACAATCTGAATGGCATCCCTGTAGAAGGGCTCCTCTTTCCCAGTCTCCTCCAGCCCACTGACCCTGACCAACTAGAGGCCATTCCATGATCCACCACCCCGGACTTAGACATTCAAAAGATGGCAAACAAGCAAGGGACTGAGAAAGGACTAGGGGACCAACAGGGACAAATTCAGAATGTTGATATCGCATTTATTTTCACCATTTAAGGCCAACTTTTTGATTAGCTTCCTTTTTCCTTCTCTGATTTCAAAACAACCAATAATTCTTGAGTTCTGGGGAGGGAATCTGCAGCTGGAAGTGGACTCAGACCACGGGATGAGTAGGGAAGAGGCTGCACGTCTCTCCCTAGGTCCTCTCCGCTGTCACTCCCACCTCCTCCCAACTCTCTCTCCTCTCTTCCTCTCCTCCCCTCCCCTCCTCTCCTCTTCTCTCTCTCTCTCTCCCCTCCTCGTGTGCGAGCGCGCGAGCGCGCGCGCCCTCGCTCTGTCTCTCCATGTTTCACCCAGTGTAAAAATAGCTGCTCAGGTTCTGTTATTCATCCCGAAGCAGCAGTAAAGGGCGAGCCTCCCGCAGTGCCTGCTGCCCTTTAGTAGCTTATGCTATCAGGTGACGCCTCACACCTCCCATTCCCCACCCCGCGGTGGATGAATGTCCTCAGTGACCTTAGACGTTTTTATTTTAATCAGCAGTATGGTTTTTGAGTGGAAAATCCTCCCAGGCTTTCTGAGTCGGCGGGGCCGCGGGGCCCTCCCCTCCTCCACACCCCAGGCCGCAGTGCTAGGAGAGCGTTTCCATCTGTGCTGGGAAAGAAGGGCCCCTCTGTGCCTCCCAGCACGTCCAGCGCCAGGGCGCGGAGGCTGGAACACGCTCTCCCGCACGGGAACAGCTTTCCAGGGGCCTTGTGGGGAGGCTCTGGCCTTTCCTAACGAGAGCCAGGCGCCTCCCCCGTGGGCCCCGGTCCGTTCCGGGCAGGATCACCCCATCCCTACTGGGGGCATTGATTCCCCCGAGCTGGGGGAGGGAGTCGCCTCTGCACTCCCTGCCTGCAATCCGGTCACCCGCGTGTGCGCATGCGCGGAGAGGGGCCGCGTCGCTCTGGGCTTG